GGATGTGCCCCCTCTGAAGCTGGAAACCTTGTTTTTGCAAAATAAATTGATGCAATTTGTTATTATAGGCCTAATCAATAAATTCCTCATCAACCGATATAACCTTAAACATTCTTGGAATTGACGTAACATTACTGATGTCGTACACACCCGTCAGTGTGAAATGTGGCTCTCTTTGCAAGCACATCTAACATCTAAGGAAAGAAGAGCTTAGATTGGTACCAGATAAAATAATTTTGTTATCAACATTAATACATTATGCTAATTTTCATCTTTGTAAGAGCATAAGACAGTGCAAATTATTTCTGTGACAGTCTTTTGAAGTGTGTAAAGCCCCATTTTATACATAGTCAAAATATTGGGAGGGGGATGATACAATGGACCATCCCCCTTGTCAAATATTGGGGGGATATATCCCCATCCCCCCCCCCGGTATCTACGCCTATGCTATTTAGAATGAATTAACTCTAATGTGCATAAGTTATAAGCAAAGGTATATAAACCTCAGGATATCTGAATTCGTTTTTTTTTGTTTTGTTACACTGCAGATGTCGTATTGAATACGAAGAAACATGTCTGGTTCTATTACATGTATTTTTGTTGCTCTTAAATTCGTCTTTATACTACTTCCTGTTCGGAAGTTGCTGTATGTTGCTGTATTTACATTTACACAGACCAGTACGGTCACAAAGCAAGACCTTAGACTGTTTGAGAAACTCAGCAAGAAGGTGAAAAAAGCAGACGCAGACATAAATTTTCTCAAAAATTAATAATAATATTAATAACAATAATAATAAAAATAATAATAATAAAACTATTATTAGGAAAGTTTAGATATCAGTAATATTAATTGATTGATTTTATTCAATACTGTACAATATCAGTAAATATAAAAATATAAACTAAACGATGCCAGATAAAACAAGGACATTATACATGACCCATGAAAGGTAAAAACGAAAACCTATAGATTTAAAGTTGTTTATCTTTTAAGAGCATGACAAGAGCTCGTAATAGGCCTAAGTGATTTCCCCCTCCCCTCAATTTTTTGCTTTTGTTTAATTGTTAACATTGGCATATATTGTGTGTCTGCCCCTGGAGGGGAGGTGTAGCGATTCTACAATAGACAACTACTATTCTTATACGAGGCAGTGGCGTAAATACGAGCTGTTTCCTAATATGCATAGTAGGCCTATATTGCATCCTGTGTATTCATAACACATGTTTTATTTAACTGTATATTGTTAATATTTCACAATACCTGCACGTTGTGTATATAGGCCTATAAATTATATATTCCTTGTTATTCATTGTAAAAGGCCTATGTATTTGCGTTTCTTGCACTATTATTAAATTTTATTAAAGGAAGAATAAGTAACTCAATTCATCCACATGGCACTGATACAAAAATAAATTTTGAACTATTTATCATTTTCCCAATAGACCTTTTGCATTTTTAAACTGGATGCTTTTTTGGCCCACTCTTCAACATTATGTACAGGGGATAGGCCGTTAATAATAACAACAGCAGCAGCAGTAGCGGCGAGAGATGGCGACAACGACAACGACGACGTCGACAGCAACAACAACGACAACAGTACGTTTGTTAAAAGCGCAAACATCTCCACCAAAATATGTGCTCAAGGAGCAGTGTCGGATTAGCAGTTTAATAACCCCTCCCCACTCTCATTGTAATGACTGGACGACTTGCAAAATGCTTATGACGGCTATGTACAGGCCCGTATCCAGGGGGTGCGTTGGGTGCGTGCGCACCCCCCCCCCCCCACCAAATCAAAAAACGTCCACTAATTATAACAAAAAAAATGTGACCTTATTCCCAGAATCATTATAAAATGAATCACATAACAGTACAGTATTAAGATTGTATGAATGTACAAATGAGTTACAATAAGAATACTAGAGCGCTGACTCCACACGCGCAATCTTTTGTACTGCCAGCAACATAACACAACAAACATACACACGTTATATGCACGTTATCGCCTAGGTGTATCTTCCCCTAACTACCAGCCGGTATGTCAGTGTATAGCAATGAAGTCAAAATGAATGACACCCCGGTTTAGACAAGTATAATCGTTCCTAGCGCTCTCAGAAATACTCTGAGACGAGTATACTCATCATGATGATCCTTTTATACAGTATACCCCGTCACGGGTTCAATGGATAGATAGCGTATACATACAGTTAAATTATGCTTATACCTCTGTATATGTTTTCTGTCGATGCCAAGAATAAAAATGTTGATTAATTTGTTTCAAATGCTTCTAGTTGTTTGAATTAGCTCATTTACAGTCGCTTTTAATCCACTCTTTATATCAAACTTTGCTATTATTCATTTAAAAGCAGAATTGATTTTTAATTTTTATTCGTAATGGTTACGAATTTATACAGTAGTATTTTTCATTTGGGAAACAATTTGCTTGTTTCTCCATGTCCTCCACTGGTAATTTTTTGATAGGCCCTATCGCTGTGTTCACGGACATATAGAGATTAACATGATAAAATGCCTTCAAATTAGTCTACTAGGACGTAAGAAAAGCAAATCCCCCCCCCCCTTTCGGGGAAGACGATAGATTTTGTCGGGGAACAAACAAATAAAAAAAAAAAAAATTACATGTAATATTCGTTTAGCCACCATATTGTTTGTGTTAACTTTTCATCACAACAACAACAACAATAATAATAATTCAATGAGACTAATTAAAAATAATTTGCGTTCTGTTGACAAATGCTCATTTAGATATCCTCATGATGGTTGGAATACATCGTGATATGTGAAGCAACCTCGACCATGACAGCGTGGTTGACATATTTCATGCAAAATTTCCAAAATATAGAATTTCACTTTTAAGAATGAGGATTTGAAAATAAATTAGATGGTTACATTACATACTCTTTGTTTCTTGTTTTATTTAAAATATTTTGGTTTTGGAAGCTGATTTCAACATTAGAAAGCATAGCCTACATGAAGTCATATTATAGTAACTCGATGCCTATGAAATAAGTAGTAAGCTTTATTTAAAATGTTTTGGTTTTGGAAGCCGATTTCAACATTAGAAAGCATAGCCTACATGAAGTCATATTATAGTAACTCGATGCCTATCAAATATGTAATAAAAATTCGCCATAATTCATCAAATATTTAATCCGATCAGAATGACAAAATAAACTAAGCATCCACTGGAAGGAATCCCAATATCTGCAGACGGATCCGTTTCGGCCTTCCAGGCCTCATCAGTGCAGCTAGAGTATAGACCCAAACGAAACGTTCGACCAGCTTAGGTAAGGACCAAACTAGTCCCACGATCCACTAATGATTACGGAGCCAAACCAAGGCAATATATATACACAGCCCGGGTGTGAATGCAAATAGTGGAATACAAGCTATGTGGCTCGGTTCCAGTAGATACAGAGATTCTCTGCATTCAGCTATTCAACTAATCTTACTATATACTAACTCCATGTTTTTCCAAGAGTGTAGACAATACTTAGTTAAAAAAAAATCAATAAAACCAAAATGTGAAGCTAAATGGAATGAGATATTTACAGATAATAATATTGATTGGGAGAAAGTATGGACAAGACAAGTTAAAGAAATAAAGACTCCAAAAATAGCTGAATTTAACTTCAAATTATTACATAGAATTTTACCAACTAAGAAAAGGTTATATCAATGGAAATTAGGTGATTCACCATTGTGTGTACATTGTGCAACGATTGCTGATGAAAAACACATGTTAATGACGTGCAAAAGTCTAGGAAACTATTGGAATAATGTTGCATCTATATTCAAAATTAAGATTAATACCGTATTACTTTCAAAAATGTTGTATTTGGTATATCAAAACAAAACAACATCACAAATGAATTAATTGCAAAAGCAGCTTATACAATTTATACAAACTGGTTATACCCAGTAACAACAGATCCATGGGTCTTATTTTGCAAATTCAATTCAAGTGTGAAAAGTCAATATGATATTGAAGCTAGAATACATTCAGATGATAAACATAGGCAAAGATGGATTGATATTACTATTGATATATTCCAATTTCAATATGGTATAATTAGTTTTTCATAGCATTCTGCACATCTTGGATTGTAATAATGAGCCATAAAGAAATAAGAGTACCAATCCGATCATTGATGAACTGTAATCA